GGCGGGTTGGGAGAGGGCGAGGCGTTCTTGACTACGACCGGTCAGTGGGTGTGCTTGCAACTTCTGACGGGCTCTCAGCTTGAGACCCTGGGGGTCGCGTGACGCTGATAGTGCGCGCGTTTGCGGATCTTCTCACAGGCGCGAACGATTCGCGTTTGACACGGATCCATCCATTGTTGGCAGCGACTGGAAGAGTGCCGTTCATGCTGATTGTTGGAGGCTGTTTGCCTCTTTTGTCGGGCAGATCCGTGTTATAGCGGATCCCCGCCCCCAGGACTCCATGGCCTTGTGCGAACGTTCGCAGGCGTGACGGTGTAGCGATTGAGCGGCAATCTCCACGGTCAAGAGTCAGCGCGGACGCCCCCTGCGGCAGGAAAGGGGTTGCCAAGAGCAGATCTGACCTGGTGTGGGAAACTGAGGAACTCACACCCAAGATGTACTTGGCATCAAAACGGGCGAGATCGTCCGGTCTGGCTTCAGACTTCTTCAAACCAAGCGAACGGATTGGTGTGCGCTCTGGGGAGGAGAACTTGGACTTCTTGACTTGCGGGGGGGAGGATGAGGGTTACGGAGCGGAGAAGAGTAGAGACTATTCCTCCCGAACTGCTGGTCTGATCGAGACTCGTGATTCCGAGTGGCGTCCTTCCACGAACCGGGATTGAGATCCGCGCTGCGACGCATCGATCTCGTTGGCGAGATCGTGCTCCACTGTGTCGCCATGATGGTGCGCTGGGGGGCCGAAGAGAGTGAAGAGGTGTATGTGGATGTTTAAGATGGGGAGTCATGGTCGATGGACTTAGGAAGTATGGTCAACTTTTTGAGTGTGCATGAGAGTAGTGAGTGGCCGGTCTTTTAAGATGCCGGTTTACAAGGAAATCAAGAATTGAAAAATAACAAAGAGTGACATGTGAGCGGTCCTTGTTTGGTGATCGGAACGAATCGGCGAGCTGCCTGTTTTCGCGTCGCATCACGATCTGTGGGTTCTTGCCTGGCGCCGGGGTTGTTTGCCCGGAGGCAGAGCCACCGCGCGATCTTAGTAATCCGGTCGGGATCTACGCAGTACAACGGTATTATTCCACAAGAAATAAGGGCCGGGGAGGATTGTGTTACCCAAGGAAACAATTCGTCGCAAAGTCTCGCGGATGTCTAAGACCAAGCCTAGATCCGGGGGAGTTTCGTACGCGTAGATCTGAGATCTGGCCGCTCGAACACGACTCCTAAGTTTGGCGTTGACGGTCCGCCGAGCACCAGATCTGGATGAGCAAGTCGCCTTGAAGTCCTAAACGTTTGAATCTTGTTGGAATCGTGAAGTGCTCGAGTTCAAGGCAGAGGCTTCGCCTCTCCAAGATTTCCAAACCGCCGAAGAAGATGAAGCATGCCTTGGTCTAAAGCGTTATAGTGCTTTCTGAACTGATAGCCCGCGCACAGAACAAATGTCGGCCACTGGTCGCGTACTGGCGCCACTGTTGCGCCACTGTCGGCCACTGTCGACGCACTGTTGGCCATCTGTCGCCACTGTCCGCCACTGTCGGCCCATGGTCCGGCCGCACTGTCGCCACTGTCGGCCACTGTGCGCCACCTCTTGGTGTGCCGGCACCTGGGGCCGAGCCACCGTCAAAGGTGGCTCGGATCATGCGAGCCTCCTAGGGTTGTGGTTTTTTGCCGTTTGTGTTCCGGTCTCCGTGATTCGGTGATTTAGACTCTGATTTGGCAGTAAGTCTGATTCCCGATTTGCAGTAAATCTGATTCCTGATCTGCAGTAAATCTGGATCTGGATTTGGCAGTAAAATTCTGATTTCCGGAGGCAGAGGGTAAGAAAATCTGGATCTCTGATAGGCAGGTAAGAGTCTATTCCTAGTTTGGCATAAATCTGAAATCCTGATTAGGGCAGTAACATCTGATCCTGATTAGCAATGTAAGGCCCCCCCCCCCGCCCGCCCCCCCCCCCCTCGTGAATTCCTGATTAGGCAGGTCAGCGATCTGGGAGCGCAGTGAGAGATTCGGACGAGTAAGAGAAAAGTCCTGGAGAGGCAGTAAATCTGATCCATGTAGTAGGTGGCAGTGTAATCTGGAGTCCTGATAGGCAGTAAATCCGGTTCTATGATTTTGAGCAAAAAGTTTAAAAAATTTCTGGATTTTGTCCTGAATTAGGCAGTAAAATCCGCTTCTGGAGTTCGACCCGAAGACTGATCTGATCCGAGTCGTGATGTCGTCCGAGGTTTCCCCTTGTTGGATTGACTCTCTGACTCTTGCCGATTCCGAATGCGACACGATGTATTTCCCGTGGCTTGCCGTGGATTCGCGATCTCGTCGCCTCGTTGGTCTCGTCGGTTTGTGCCGAGCTCGCTGCTAAAGAAAGGGATCCTAGTAACAATTTGATAGCGCCTACAGCATATGAATATATAATATATACATGATGTATACGGATATGTGGAGGACATAGTATATATGTGGGTTGCGTCATGATTAGGCAATATATAGTAGCATGTATATACAGTATATACAAATGTTGGATTACATATATACATATGTATTAATACATAGAGTGTATAGTATACTGAATAAGTAACAAGGTATATCATAGTATATACATATATAAGTATATGTATATACATATATGTATTATATATGTATACCACTATATATACATTATATATATATATAACGTATAGATGGTATATACGATATAGGAATATATATATAGAGTAGTATAGGGACTATATAAATACTATATATAGAGGTGGAGAGCAGTGATGCCAGTGAATGACATGATATATAATATATATCATATATACTAGGTATATATAATAATATATATATATATATATATATATTTATATATCATATATAGGAGTATAGTATAATATATATAATAAGTGAATATATACAGGATGGAGGTAGGATACATAATATATATACACTATATATGATATATAATACATACATATATATATATATATAACATAGGGAGATGGGACTAGATTAAGTAACATATACATTATAAATATATATAAACCATATATATATATAATAGTAATCTATATACTGAATATTAATATAGTATAGTAAATAGTATAGGTATTTAAAGTATATGATACTATATCATATAGATATATATATATATGATATATACATATTAATAGTGAGTCCGATTTGGCGGATTAGCGTGCATTTCCCTGTGTGGCTTCGGCCATGCAAGCGGGATTCACTAATCTAGAGGATAGTAGAGATCATCTCAATTCCATTAATGCGGAGGATGACCTAGATTGGATTAATGTAGTGCAGCGTAAAAGAAGGTATCGTAAACCCTTCTCCAAACCAATTGATTCAAAATCAAATGCTCATACTCGTTTTCAAAATGCTTCGAATAAGGAGGTTGGAAGGCATCATCCAGCAGATTTAAAGAGTAAGGTGATCCAAAAGCAAAATCTTTCTGACTCCTGGAAATTTAAATCTGTTGGTTCTTCATCATGGAAAGACATTTGTACCATGGGACGTGAGATAAATCAAAATTGCTCTTTAGAATACTTTCCTCCATCGATTGATAGCAATGGTATCCGTTATGCTTCTATACCTAGATCTGAGATTCTCCTTAATGTGGAAAAATGGAATAACACTTTAGTTGGTTATGTCCTCGGAGATAAACCTTTCTTTTCACACCTGAAAGGTTGTGTTGGTCGTCTTTGGAAACTTTCATGCTCACTTGATATTTATTCTAGAGAGAATGGTTTTTTTTCTTTTTTAAATTTGGTTCAAATGAAGAATTAAACAAGGTTTTAAATGGTGGCCCTTGGTTGTTTGATGGCAGATTGATTATTCTGAAAAAGTGGACCGAGAATATTGGATTAGAGAGAGATCTTCTTAACTCAGTCCCAGTTTGGATTAGATTTCCATCGCTGCACCTTAAACTATGGTCTAATAATATTATTGGGCGTATTGCTAGTCTTGTGGGTACTCCTCTTTATATTGATCAAGCTACGGCAACTGGTGAGAGACTAGCTTACGCTAGATGCTTTGTGGAGATCTCCTCTAACATGAAGCTTCCAAATTCTGTAAGGTTGGATCTAGGAAATGGAGAATGGCTAGAAACTACTGTTGAGTATGAATGGGTTCCTCCTAAATGTAGTAAATGCTTAAACTTTGGACATGTTGATTATCAATGTTCTGTAGAACTTGTTGAGAAATGGATCCCTAAAGAGACTGTTAATAAGGCTGAAAGGAGAAAGAATGATGGAATTCCTATTACAGTATTTTCGAAGACAGACATGATTGACAATCAGCAAAATGGTAAACCAGATATTATTCCTACCAATTCAGGAAATTTTATTATTTCTGGGTCAGGTTCTGATAACCCAAAAACTGTTATTGATATTGATACTCCTCCGGTAGTAGTCCCATGCTGTTCTGATAATGTGAATACAGATAGTAGAGTTCAGTCTGATTTAAACTCTGTATCTTCTACAAAATCTGATTCTATCTGTACTAATGCCATTTCAGGAAAAGATAATATTAATGCAGAGGATGTTTTGATTGAAGAAAAATTTTCAAAGGAAAATAAGGAGGTTGATGATAAAGAGGAGCTATATCAAATAATGAAGATGCAAATGCTGAGGAGTTGTTTCATGATGAAGCCAGTAGAATTGATGTCCTTTCTGGAGCTGCAGACTTATTACAGAATAATGACTACATTGATACAGATTTGAATTCTGGGAATAATACTCATATCAAATCTATAAATTCAGGTATTCAAGATCAAGCCAAAAAAACATAGAGGTGAATGTATCTGTGCAATCTGATGGAGAAAATGGGAATGAAACAGGTATTGATTTTCCTATTGCTATTGACAACCCTGATTGGATAACAGGTAAAAATCAGCTGTTGATGAAGAAGAAATATAACCAGGTGAAGATAAATAGAGATTCTTCTTTAGGCCCTAAGAGAGTTACAAGGGCATCATCAAATACTACCTCATGACAATGTTATTTTGGAATGTAAGGGGCATGAACAATTTGAGTAGAAGGAAGGATATTAAAAGACATATCAAATCTTTGAATCCTAGTCTTATTGGTTTGTTGGAGACCAAAGTAAAACCTGCAAAGTCTTACAGAGTGTCCAAATGTTTCCCTCCTCACTGGTCATACTGTAACAATTATACTGCTTCTAGTAGAGGAAGAATTTGGGTAGCTTGGGATGCAGAGGTCTGGAATGGTACAATTTTATCTGTCACTTTACAACAGATAACAATAATGCTACAAAATAATGGTGGTCTCAATCTAATGTTGAGTGTCATTTATGGAGAAAATTCAGAAACATTAAGATCTACTTTATGGGATGATATTACTGATATTCACTCTCAAATTAACACAATGCCGTGGCTTTTAGTGGGGGACTTCAATGTTTGTAGATACACATCAGAGAAAATTGGAGGAAGGAAGCTTACTGCAAGGAATCTGAAAGATTTCAATGATTGTATACAGAAATGTGGACTGTCTGATATCAAAAGTTCTGGTTCATCTTGGACATGGCATAATAAGCAACAAGGTAGATACAGAATATATGGTAAGTTGGATAGGGCCCTGAGCAACTCTTTTTTGATAGATAAGTTTCCTCAAATGTTTATAGAATATAAATGCACCTCTTCTAGTGATCATACTCCAGCCCTTGTCCATCTTATGCACAGCACTAGTTCAGGGCCAAAGCCATTCAGATTTTTTAACTACTGGACTCAATGTCAGGGTTATGAAGATGTGGTCAAAAGTGTCTGGAACATTTTAAAAGCAGGTACTCCAATGTTCAAGTTGGTTTCTAAACTAAAGGAATTAAAATCTGCTCTAAAAATTTGGTCAAAACAGCCAGGCATTTCAACAAAGGAAAATATTATAAAGTTGTCAAAACAGTTGGAGCACATCCAGAATGAGCTCAATAAAGACATGGAAAATGAGAGCTTGCAATCTACTGAATTAGCATTATGTTTCGAGCTAGATGGATGGTTAAGCAAGGAGGAGGATGAGATGAGGCAAAAGAGTAGACAATCATGGCTACAACAAGGGGATAGAAATACTCAGTTCTTTTATAATGCTATCAAACAAAGAATATCTATGAATAGCATACGACAACTGATTGACAAAGATGGTTCTCCTATCTCTTCTATTGACCAAATTAAAGTCATGGCCCCAAAATTTTATGAAGGGTTATTCAATCAAACATCATATTGGAGTATTTTCCCTAAACTGACAGTTAAGAGAATTCTAACTGATGAAGCAAAACAATACAACTGATTGACAAAGATGGTTCTCCTATCTCTTCTATTGACCAAATTAAAGTCATGGCCCCAAAATTTTATGAAGGGTTATTCAATCAAACATCATATTGGAGTATTTTCCCTAAACTGACAGTTAAGAGAATTCTAACTGATGAAGCAAAACAATGGTTATGCAAGGATATAAGTTACAAGGAGATTAAGGATGCTCTTTTCCAGATGAATCCAGATAAGGCACCAGGACCTGATGGTTTTAACGCCTATTTTTATCAACAGAACTGGAGTTTAATCAAGACTGATGTGGTTCTAGCAGTGAAGTCCTTTTTCTCATCAGGTAAACTCCTTAAACAGATCAATCATACTTTCCTCACCCTAGTGCTGAAATCACAAGAAGCATCTTCCATAAATGATTCTAGACCAATATCTTGTTGCAATGTCATATACAAGATTATATCTAAAATTTTGAGTAATCGTCTTAAATTGGTGGTGGGTGAATTGATATCAAAAAATCAACATGCTTTTATGCAAGGGAGACATATAGGTGAATGTTCGTTATTGGCTCATGAATTGCTAAGGGATTTCTCTAAGAATCATGGGAAAAGAGCTTGTTTAAAAATTGATTTGCATAAAGCTTTTGATAGCATTAACAGAGAGTTTGTATACTATATTATGCACTGTATGGGTTTTCCAGTCAAATGGATCAATTGGATCAGGGAGTGCCTATCAACTGCAACTTTCTCAGTTCTTTTAAATGGTTCCCCTAATGGTTTTTTTAAGAGTGTAGGCTGTCTAAAAATCACAATAGATAGCTTATCCCCCATCAAACACCGATGATGGAAGTTACAATCTGACGACTTCCAGAAGGCTGTAATCTGAAGACTTTCGCGTAGATTGCTGAAGGTTACAATCTGACGACCTTCACGACAACCGATGAGAGCTCTAGTTCAACAGCATTCACAATCAACATCGGGATTTACAATCTGACGACTCTCATATTCTCAAGGAGTCAAGACGAAGATTACAAGACAATGATCTTTGCAACGCTATGACAAAAAGAGATTACTTGGTGATAATCTCTGCAAGGCAAGACGCGGAGGTCCTCCCCGTGTTACAACATCAAAACGCCAGGGTCAAACCTCGCGTTTCAACATCAAAACGCCATGGTCGAACCCCGCGTTACAACATCAAAACGCCAGTGTCGAACCCCGCGTTTCAACATTAAAACGCCAGGGTCGAACCCCGCGTTTCAACATCAAAACGCCAAGGTCGAACCCCGCGTCACAACATCAAAACGCCAGGGTCGAAACCCGCGTTACAACATCAAAACGCCAGGGTCGAACCTCGCGTTTCAACATCAAAACGCTGGAGTCGGACCCGCGTTACAAACAGGCGAAACGCGAGCGACCCTCGCGTTCATCAATGTTCAGCCAACACCCAACCTCGCGTCTCAATCCTAAGACGTGAGGTTAGGGTCCTGAACGCCAACGTGGGCGTTTGACTCATTCAACATGAGTTGAACGGTTCTAAAACCGTTTCCCACGATTTGGGGGCGGTTACACCCCACTTAGGAGAGATTTAAGGGGCGGTTTCACCCCCTTAATCCTCTATAAATAACTGAAGATCAATTCAGTTCAAGGTTTTTTTTCTGCTGGGGGCCGGTTGGAATTTTCTTGGCTTGGATCGACCACTGGAGACAAGCTTTTGAGGAGATCGGCATCATCTCCCAACGAAGATCATCTTCAACTTCAGCAACAGAGAGCCTCTGTCCTTGGCTTATTAACCGATCTTCGAATCAACTCTTTTACAGAGTTCTTCTAAACTCGTTCAGAGTTCTCAAACTTGCCACGCAAGTTCTCCACAACGTCAAATCGTGAGGAGAAGACATCGTTCCAGTGAATCAAAACGTGCGGATCGTCAACGGAGAGCAAACTCGATGCAAGCATTCGGGGGAGGCACTCCATCGCCACCGTGAAGAACCCAGTTTTAAACAAAGAGGAAGAACCAATTTCGTTTTCCTCTCTTTTGTAATCAAGTTGTAACCGAGATCAAAGGAATCAAAATCAAATTTTCTTTATTCTCTTCTTTGCAATTTTCCCTGCATACAATGGGTCCTTGGTCGGGGATACTTTGGAGATTGCTAAGGCATATAACGTGATCAAGACTGAAGGCTTAAGGCTCGGGTTAGACCTCAATGTTGCCAAAACTAAATTATTCTGGCCCTTAACGGATCCTAGGAGTTTGTTGGAGGGGCTTTTTTCCTTGGATATTAGTCGTCCTCGTGATGGAGTAAGGCTTTTAGGTGGAGCAGTTAGCATGGACGAGGGGTTTATTGGAGGGTTAACAGCGAAGAGGGTGGCAAAGGCGACTCAGTTAATGGAAGCGTTGGACCAACTTAGGGATCCACAGTGCGAGCTCGTCCTTTTGAGGGCTTGTGCGGGTTTGTCCAACTTGTATTTCTCCTTGAGGACTTGCTTTCCACAGCTCTTTGCTCAGGCGAAAACTCAGTTTGATATTGCGCTTCGGAGGTCAGTCGAGAGCATTATTACATCCGAAGGCCTAGGCTTCGGGGATCTCCAATGGAGGCTGGCCTCTTTACCTATCAAGGTGGGGCGGATTGGGGGTCTATGCGGCGGCAGATTCCATACAGTTTTTCTTTGTGGCCTCTCGGATTCACTCCATCGAGCTTCAAGATCATATTTTGACAGGTTGTGGTGAGGTTTCTTTAGGTGGGCATTTTACTTCCGCCCGGGCCTTTCTTCAAGCAAAGCTACCTGAGGTTGACCTTCTTCAAATCACCACTAAAGGGTTTGTCCCCCCAAAATCAATGCATTACTTGGCAGACATCTTTTATGGTGGCATTTGTAAAGATCTATCGACAGAGTTTGACCTGTCAGAGAGGCAGGTTGTGATTGTTGAGTGTCTGCGGGAAAAGCACGTCTAGGATTTCTTGTTGGCCACACCTATTGAGGGATTGGGGTAGCGTATGACTCCGGGGGAGTACCAGGCTATCCTCAGGTACAGGTTGTTGGTTCCTTTGTTCGTGGAGGGGACAGTGTGCCCAGTTTGTCGTCGGACGCATATGGATGCTTTTGGAGAGCATGTCATCCATTGTCAGAAGCAGTCGGGGTTCAAGTATAGGCACGACTTAGTCAGAGATGTCTTGTATGATATCCTTCAAAGAGCAGGGATCCCATCAAAGAAGGAAGCGTCGGTCAACTTCCTCACTCCTCCTGGAGAGGCTAGATCTACTCTAAGGCCGGCAAACATTCTTGTCTACAGTTGGAGTGGGGGGAAGCACGCTTGTGTTGATCTCATAGGGGTATCTCCGTTGGTGGGGTTTGGTAATAGAGAGTTTAATGTTGGACATGCAGCAAATAGAGAAGCAAAGGCAAAGTGGGCAAACATGATCAAGCTTGCGGGGACAACCACCACAACTTCATCTCGTTCGCTTTCGATACGTTTGGTTTCCTTGCAGCTGATGCGGTGGAGTTTCTCAGGAGGGTACAGAAATTTATGAATAAGAATGTAGCGATAGCAGGGTCCGCTAAGTACGTGTTTCGTAGGTTGGATTTTACAATTCAGAAAAGATTAGCGGCGCAGCTTGTTGCCCGCTTGTCATCATCACATGTGTAATATTTCTTAAATTATTTTGGTAAAAAAACAAAATAAAACAAAAAAACACAAAAACTCAACTTGCATGAGAGTCTGCAATTAGAATATTTGTGACATTTGTGTCGTACATGCCATATTCGTGGTTAATTTGTTACATTTCTTTCTTAATTATATGTTAGATCTGGCCGTCGAATGTGATAAAAAAAATATGATATTTATTAGCAAAAAAATAATGAGTAACAAACAAAACGTAACATATAGTGAATTAATATCACAAATAACAAGCATCTGTAATATTTAATAACTTAATCTCACAAATAACATACAACAAATCCTTTTATTTTTAATTGTCACAAAATAACAGATCAATAAACTTCACATTTGTCTCGAGTGACAGACACTAATATTATGCTGACAACACGAATGTTGAGGAAAACAGCATTCAACATAATCAAACCTGGGTTAGTATGAATGGAAATTAAGTGCAGCATATAACACCTAAGTGTAATAAATAATGGGCATGTGCAACAAATAATGAGGACATTTAGTAGAAAATGCTTACTTGTAATACATAATGTTGCCAGTAAATAATGTCAAATATTATAAATATTTGACAAAGAGAAACAAATAAAGAGGAAAAGTAAAATAATGCTCAGTTACACGCAACTAACAGACACAGGTACAGTTGGTTGTTAAACTCTATTGGAATTAAGAATGTCTCTGTTTAATGCTCTTCTTCTTCCTTCAATACTCTTGTTAAAGGACTCTTACTGTCCAAGACAGTCTAGTCGAGTTGGTAAGTTGCCTATGAGCAGTACTCCAATAGCTCAGATTTGATCCTCCTAGTGAGCACCCACTGGAATTTGATTTCCTAGAATACCCAGGGCTGTGCATTGGGGGGTGCATCTTAGCCACGCACAGGAGTTTAATATCCAAGGATAGTGGAGAAGTTCCCTCAGCAAACTAAAAAAGAAACACTAATTACTAATTATTATGTTTTAATTAGATCCGTGTAGATAGACAGATGCTTGAGTTGAGTGTGCATATGAACATGGATGCGATCATCAGCACTATCTTTCATTTTCCCTCCTTTTCGGACATAAGAAATATAGACGTCTCTCTCTCTCTTAGACATTTTCTCAAACAGATTATTTATAATCCAATTCCCATCGAAGTCTCCCGCTTAAGAAAATGTGTTAGTGCTAGAGCTCTCCTTTGAGCTTGATGGACAGAGTTATTGCCTCTCTGCCAAGGGATGCAAATAGCATCCTGAGCTTGACAAGCAAACTAGCCACCAACTAAGGACCGTCATCCTCGACCACCATTGCTGGGCTGATGTGGCCGATTGTCCCAATTGCGGATAAGCCCTCTAGACCCCTCAGTGAGATTTTTAAAACTCTTCAACTC